CACTTGAGGAGATTACAGTCACATACTGACTTTTATTGCTTATGGTGCATTATTAAATGTTAGACATTATGAGATGCTAGATGATGTGCCAGGCAGGCATTGTTTCCTTTCATTTGATCCTTCACGGTCTCCACTAAACCAGTGGTCTTTCCGCTGCTTAGTTGATCACAGTGCTGATCTGTGTAAGTTTGTGCTGGTTTTATTTCAAACAGCACTGAGTCCAGAGACGCCATTAGATAGAGAACTATAGCTCACTTCTTTATGATGTTAGTGCAGATCTAAGACCAAGATCATGTGCTCCAGGGAGTTTTCATGGCCACTTAGTTGTTCAGGACAAGGTCTTCCTCCAATACTATGATATCATCCTAGAGAAAAAAAATCAATTAGTGGGGAAAAAAAATCTAAATTGATTTGGGGTAAATTTTCTCTTGTTGAAATATTTTACAGCAGGCTAGTTTCCTGCCTGAATGCAACCATACAAATTATTTTTTTTATAACAGGATCCTAGTGCGTTACACTCAGAAAGCACCTCAGGTATCGACTCCAACTCTCGTGGAAGCTGCAAGAAACCTAGGAAGAGTGGGCACCAAGTGCTGTGGGCTTCCTGAAGCAGACAGAATGCCATGTGTGGAAGACTATGTGAGTCTTCCAGAAATTACATAATGTTAGCAGAGCTGGGGTTTTATCTTTAGACATTGACATATCTAAGTTTTAGGAGCAAGGGTGTACTAGTGTGTGTGTGTGTGTGTGTGTGTGTGTGTGTGTGTGTGTTAGCTGGGGCATGGCCACCTATATTTAAATAAAAGAGAGGCAATGCTTATAAATCCCACATGTTTGGTTTCAAAGATAAATAAGTGACTGTGCCAATCAAGGACAAATTCATAGCTGCTAAAACAATATGGCAGTTCCTCCAGTGCACCGGAAAGTGGGTGTCTGTGGATTTCTAGTGACTGTTCTGCCTCTCCGCCTGCGCTTCTTTAGCTCTCTGCCATCCTGAACCGTGTGTGTGTGCTGCATGAGAAGACCCCAGTGAGCGAGCAGGTCACCAAGTGCTGTACTGGCTCTTTGGTGGAAAGGCGACCTTGCTTCTCGGCTCTGCCAGTTGATGAAACCTATGTCCCCAAAGAATTTAAAGCCGAATCCTTCACCTTCCATGCCGACATCTGCACACTTCCAGACAAGGAGAAGCAGCTAAAGAAGCAAACGTGAGTGATAGTTTCTTATTGCGGGTGTCTCTAGTGTTGAGAGTGAGACCTGTCAATTGGATGTGTCTAGTTTGATGCAGTGTTTGTATTCCTGAGAGAGAAGAGTTTAGGTGTTGGCATTACTGGGTTGAAAAAGTGTCAAAGCTTTTTTTCTATTGGAAAAAAGACTATTAAATGTTTTCATGTAAATTATCTTTAATACGGTGGGTAAAAACCACAGAAGAATAAAATTCTAGTCGAGGCACAGTAGATAATGCTCAATAACTAACAGATGAATTTGCATAGGTATAAAATTGGTGATAGAAATCATAGGCGAACTTATTTCAAGAGATGAATAGTTAGCTGCAATTGTTCCATGATGAAGCCAGACCAGATGCAGGACAGAGCCACAGGTGTGACTTCTGAGGGTAGGATAAGAAACAGCTGGAAACACACATAGAAGGGTAGACTCCTCATTCTCTCGGGAAAGGTTCCAACAGTGTGAGATGTAGCCGGAGGTTGTCATCACCTGTGGGGACCTGTGATTGCGGTTCGGATCGTGTAACAAAACCCATCCCCCACACAGCTATTTTCTCCAGTACTCTTTGGTCTATAAATATCAACGACAGAGACCCAGCTTGGCTTCTTTTCATTTTTATAGCATCCCCATTATTAGTGAGCCAAATGGGGCAGACGTTAGAGAGAAGAATTCCATAGATGAAGTGCAAAGACAGAAGTCTTTCAGGAAATCTCCTGCAACTACATAAGAGACAGCGTGTCTTGGGCCAATCATTCAGTTGATTCAGTCCTAGCAGAGGGCACTTACTACCCTCACACGCAGTCAAGACTGTTAAGGCTGGCAATGGCGTGCTGGGTCGTCAAAGCCAGAGTCACTTGAATCCAAGACTTGTAACTTTAAACTCTGACCTCGCCATCCTTGCTGTCTTGTGTTCCCGCGTGGGCATAACCAGTCCCTTGCTGTTCTTACTTTCTGTCCGAATGCAGCGCCCTTGCTGAGCTGGTGAAACACAAACCCAAGGCTACCGGTGACCAGCTGAAGACCGTGATGGGCGAGTTCGCGGCTTTCTTGGAAAAGTGCTGCAAGGCTGACGACAAGGAGGCCTGCTTCTCCGAAGAGGTAACAGAGCGCTTTGCATTTTGCTGTATTCAGTTTCCATTCTTGTGCATTTGGTCAGGTCGGGGCTTAGAAGCTCTCATGCTGAGTAACGTGCTCAACCTAGATTGTGTTCGCTGCAGAGCTGTAACCCAAGCTGACTTACGTAGCTTTTAATTTTTATCTCCTACCGCACTGTGGCATATCGAATGCTTATCATGGCCATCCTGCTCCAAATTTATGGCACTTATGAACATAGTTAGAAACATTTGTAAAGCCCAGAATCATTAACTCATTTCAACCTTGGCCTGAAATGTTACATTTCGAATCGACTTATTTCACTCATGAGGGAAAAATTTACAATTACATGTCTGAATCATTTCACATTTCCTCCTGTGGCCTAATGACAGTTTATTCTTTTGGATACAACAGATGTCAGTGAGCTTTCTTTTAGGAATTCTAGCTGAACTTTACATTAGAGGAGCGAGGCTTGTGAGTTTCCTCCTAACTGTGGAAGTGCAAATCTAAGTGTCTTGCTAATATTTGTCTAACACCTATCATTTCTTTGTGTTCAGGGTCCAAAACTTGTTACTGCAAGCCAAGCTGCCTTAGCCTAAATACATCACAAGCATCTCAGGTAACTATATTTGGGGTTTTGAAAACTGATCATAATCATCTTTCCTAAGATGGCCAAGATTTGTTGACTATTTGCCAAGAGTCCATAGACTAGCACCAGCCACCGCTCTTAGGCTCTCACGTGTGTTCGCCGATTTGGGTTCTATTTGCAGATAAGAATATAAATACATAAAGGTCTAGATTAATGCAATTTACCCAAGGGAGAGAAGGAGTAAAAATCCAGAATTCAAGCCAGCCCCGAAGAGTTAATCATGGTTCTGCTCTGACTTACATGATATACTACGTGGAGTCACCCACTTTAACCCAGCCAAGGATATCCTCAGATTAAAGCTGAAGCCATACGAAAGAGCATTTTTGGGGTAAAAACAGTTGTGTATTATTGATTCTGCATAGTTGAGCCAATAATTCTGTAATTCATTTCACCAGTAAATACAATGAAGCTATCTACTGGGGTTCCTGTTTCATACGAAATGATCTGCTTCAGAATCTCTCAGGTGTCATATGCCAAACTTTGACAGCATTTATTTTCATATTTCAAAATGGCCTCCTTTAAAAATATAGATAATTAAGCACAGCTATGTTGTTCAATTTTGTTTATAATATTTTGAAACAGAATTTTAAAGACATAACAACAATGGAATAAGATGGCATATCTTATTTTCATCCCCATATGAAAACATATATTTTCTGTGTATTCAAAGAAAGGACCTACAGATAGAGGGTTATTTCAGAATCATTACCATTTTATAAGGAAAAGGAAACTTTGTTGCACTCTGAGAAGACAGCTTTCATTTGTAATAAATTAGGTAGTAAGTAGGTCTTGAGAAATGGTGAGACCTCGGACTTCGAAGCTTGAGGCCTCTGACGGGACCAGTGATAACGAGAATGGTCACAACAAGCATCAGTGTGTCATCTGCCCACGGAGTGAGGGGGCTCAGCTAAGTCCAGGTCATGCTTAGGCTGTCTCCACTGGTGGAAACTGCGAAAAGAGTCTAAGAGATTCGACATTTCTAAAACTATATTTGGAAAATATACTTCATTTTACAAAGATTGCTTAAGTTTCTTCTTTTTTTTTCCAGTCTACCCTGAGAAGAAGAGAGACCTGAAGACTCCTCTTTTGTGTTGGTGTCAAATCAACACCCTAAAGAATATAAATTTCTTTAAACTCTTGACTTCTTTTCTCTGTACTGCAATTAATAAAAAATGAAAAGAATCTACTCTGTGGTCTGCGACTGTATTTTCCAAAGACATGCTCCCCCTGACAGCTTCATCGGCTTTGGGAAATAATGGGCATCCTTCCCCTGAGAGCTTCGTAGGTATTGGGAAATACACAGGCACGCTTCCCCTGCACAGCCTTGTTGGCTCCGGAAAAGGGCTCAGTTTTCTCCCTTCCCTTAAGCAGAGCTGCTAGCTCCTATGGGCAACACGATGAGAACAAATGTCAACACTCTCCTGAGCTATGGGCAGTGAGCATGGAAATGAATTTCAACATGATGAGAGTTCTGAATGAGACTAAACACTTATGAACCATGGCTTTCCCTTGTCAGTGGGTCTCTCAGACTGAGTTGGGGACGGAGGCGATAGGAATGACTTTAAAGGTGGCTAGTTGAACTTACTAAGTGATCTGAGAAAATTTTACTACAGTTCAGGATGATAGGATAAAGATTTGAGAAGCAATATGAAAGAGAGGACTGGGTGATTGGAGGGCTGCTGAAGCACACGGGGCTGGCACAGCATAGGACATCTTGATATTTGCATGCAAATGGGTGGAGCTAGAAAACATCATATTAAGTGAGGCAACCCAGACCCAGAAAGACAATTATCATATGTACTCACTCCTAAGTGGTTTTTAAACATAAAGCAAAGAAAACCAGCCCACAAAATCACAATCCCAGAAAACCTGGACAACAATGAGGACCCTAAGAGAGACATACATGGATCTAGTCTACATGGGAAGTAGAAAAAGAAAAGATCTCCTGAGTAAATTGGGAGCATGGGGACCTTGGGAGAGGGTTGAAAGGGAAAGGAGAGGAAGGGGAGGGGAGACGGAGGGGAGGGAAGAGAGGGGAGCAGAGAAAAATGTAGAGGTCAATAAAAACCAATAAAAAAAGAGTTGGATGGTGAAAGAGTCATGTAAAAATTTAAAAGTTACATTCCATGCTAGATTCTTTTCTCTGTTCCAGGAAGTGATTGCTCATATATAGTTTGTCCTACGAATTTTCAAGATTTACCCAACCATTGCCTATGAATTTACATACATATTCACTTATAGCCGTATGAAAATTTTATTATTATATACTTGCTTTCAAATTATGCATATTCTTCCATAACTTGTTCTTAATATTCCTTTATAGTTTCATTTTAAGCAAGATTCTTGAAAAGATGATGACGCCACATTTAAAGGAAGGTCTTTTTCAATCCTCTTATATTCCACACCCTCCTCTCCTCCAACCTGTACTTTGTCTCCTGATGAAAGTATCAGAGGTAGGAGAAAGACTGGAAGGGTAGAATGAAGACGGGGACCTGGCCTAACGGAAACCAGGAAGGCTAGTCAGACAATTTTGAGTAAGGAGTTGCTCTTCAACTGGGTGAATAAGTGTTGAGATTTAGATGCACTATCTGCAAGGCACTGGTTACCTTCTAGATAACCACTCCCAGACTCCCAGATACCAAAGGGAAGCTTAAAACACAGAATTATGCCCCCAAATGCACTACTTCCTAAACCTCCACATCTCCAGTTTCCCTTGGAGTCAACATCTGATACTAATGAGTCCAGGTCAGTTCTGGTTTTGTCAGTCTTTGGGGAATAATTCCCATCTGTCTGTCATCTAGCTGTTTGTCTATGCATTCTGCTTCATGATTCGGAAGGCTGGGCTACCAGAATATTGTAGGTTTACTGGTGTGTGTGTGTGTGTGTGTGTGTGTGTGTGTGTGTGTGTGTGTCTGTGTGTGTGTCTGTGTGTGATTGCATGCACATGTGTTAAAGTTGGTCTCATAACACACTGGGGACATGATATGATGTCAACATCATTTAATACTGGGAGGTTAGTTTGATGACTTATTTCTTAAAGGTGGTGTTTACCAAGCATTTTTACTGTGAAGCTATTACTTTTCCTTTTGCACAGTCTTTTTGGGGAAGCAAACAGTCATACATCTCACCCACAAAGTGACGTATGAAAGGTATCAAGTTTCTGGAGGGATGGTGATGGATGGACGCTATAAAATAATCCCTCACGAGCTCAGAACTGAGCATAATAAAGGGTTATTTATTTAGGGGTAGAATGACAGATCACAATCCTCTGCAAAAATGGGGAACAGGAGCTGAATCCAGAAGCTGGAAGAGAGAACCAGCACATGCTTTGAGTCGGCATTTTTTGTTTAAGAGGCCACACTCAAGTGGGCTGGTATCTTAAAGGCCACTGTCTGAAGGAGTTCCCACAGCAGGGGTGGGGAGACATCTATGTGTTTTATTAGATTTCTTCGGGAAGACAGATTTGCTTCACAGTTATTCAACTGTTTATAGCAAAATGAACTCAATATTCATTCTGGATTTGGGGCAATAATTCAGTTATATATTTTGTTACTTAAATTATCACAGCTTTGGACATTCGGGCTCCTTTCAGGTTGGCTATTGTATCCCTTCTAGGTGTCTGCATCCTTCGTTTCTATGTATCTTTCACTTCCTGACATTGCAAGATGCTACAGATTAGTCTGTGCTTTCCATTCCTCAGTCTTTGAGCACCATTTCCAGGAGCCCTGGTTCCTGTCAGTAGAGAACGGTATTAGAAAGATCTGAGTACCGACTATGCCCCTCACTAGTGAGCGCTCACTGTTTTTACTACTTTGTAAAGAATAGAGCTAAGAAATATTAAGTATGTGGACATACGTATATGGATAAACACACACAGTCGTCTATCTGGCTATCTATCTATCTATCTATCTATCTATCTGTCTATCTGTCTGTCTATTTATTTATCATCCATTCATCCATCTATCATCTATGTGCACATCCGTGCCACCTGATAACTCTATTTCAGAACCACAGGTCTCATTCCAACTTTGCTCTTGCTGATCCATAACTCTTCTCTTGATAGTGAGGGCTTGTCGCCCACTATCTGCCATTGATATACACATTTGTTCAGTCCCAAGATACATATTCAGGAATTTCAGGATTATTGACCCATAATCCCCATGAGAACTATTAACAACTAGAGCACAGTGTTTACAAACAATTCATTTTTTTCTTTAACCTATAGTTTTTAGTCAAAACTTTTTCCCCCCAAAGTTATTTAGACCAATTCAATTTTTTTCCTCTACAGTTTTCAGTGACTTTATGAGTCGGTTTGGGTAGAGTCACATATGCACTGGGTACAGGATGGATTTAGGCTCTGTCTTGACTGATGTTTTGGCCTATACTGCTCAGATAGGTCCATTATGTCTCTTTGCTTCGTTTCAGTTGAGAAGCCTCTCTTGGTATAAAATGGTGGCAGAGGTGGAGGCAAATCCTGCCCAGTTCACTCTCTGCATTCATTCCAGTCTCTCCACAAACTCCATTTCAATTGTCTCCCAATCATCGGGAGTGGCGTGCTATTTCTTCCTGGGGCTTTGGAGACGATGACTCTGTCACTCTCTTGGGTCTTTTCTTGGCCCTGTCTCATTTTCATCAGGAGTCTACGCTTTGTTTCCTCGAGTTAGTATTACCCTTGCAGGAATCTAATGCTTCTCTCACCTAACAGTAGGCCTTGGAACTCTTCTTCCTTTTAGTGACTGTAAGGCAGAGGTGTAGCGATCGATTACATTGAACACTGGAGAGATGCAATGATTGTGGACCAACACTTTAGAGGTAAACACGAAGAGAACGTGTATTGCTAGATGCTTCTGTTAAAGAAATCTGAATAGGAGAGACTTGCACTATGGTTTTCATCAAAGACACATAACAATAACATCTAATACAGCTAACAAAACAGAATTTATAGTGACATAATCAGTGGTATAGAATAAATAATGATGTTATGGGCATAAATTAAATACATAATAAAAAATATAGTGGTAGGATGATTTATTTGTGGTAATATAGACTCCTCAGAGTCATTAAATCATCAGTCATAACAATACTATATTTATCATGAGGTTGATGATACAATAATTGCAAAAGAATATGATGTATTTGACACTAAAGAAGACAGTACAGCCGTGTGGAATTTATTGATTCTGGGATCAAGGGCAGAGTGTGTGTAATGGTGGTCTCACAAGATTAAAACGACATTGAAAAATTTCTTTCACCTGGCAATGTAGTGACAAGCATAGTTAATCTTTTGTATGATTGTGCTACCTTTGCCTCAGTTTATCTAATTCAGAATTATTTCAATTGCATTTGTGATGTGAACAACTGATGCGCAAACAGAGGAATACTTGCATGACGCTAAAAAGAGCATTAGTATTTTGAAATGTTGGAGAAAGGAAGAATTCTTTTTTGACTAATGAAAGAATTACCATAACATGACATTTGATGGTTGATGGGTAGGTGGGGTAGTAAGTGTTTTGTTCATCTATTTCATTCATGAAAACCTTGTTGAATTTCTTCAACCCTAGACTGTAAACTTTAGACTGGCCAATACTTTAAAATATCATATGCAACGATGATCACTTTTCCATAATTGCTTTATATCCTTACTCAGATTACTTCTGTTTTCTTATATATACTGGACTGATTCCTCAACAATTTGGTCTTAAGAACCTAAAGAGAGGAGCTGAATTAAGGAACAGTATCACAGGGTTTGTATTGCTTGGGTGTCATAAGTAATGGAGATGAGTCCCTTCTATTTGACAGAGGAGAAATTCTCATTCATTCCACCTAGAGCAGTTGAGTTTGTGATGAGGAGGGACACAATTGAGAATGAGGAATCTCAAACTTAGTAATGATTGACAACACAAGACAAATCTGTGAGATAAGGCTAGGTCATGTCTTTGGGAAACTGTAAAAAACAAAGCTCAGGGTTTGGCCCCAACAGTTGTCAAGAAGGACAGTTTCCCAAGTTAAGATGCTTCTGCACTGTGGGGAATATGATCTCTTCTTACGGCGTCCTCACACACAGAGAGAACGAGCAACTGCTCACATGTCCCTTGTTATGAGGGCGCTGTTTGGGGATTTCTTTTCTAATCACCTGTACCAACAGGCTGCCACTCAGCTTTGCTATTTGCTACAGTTTGAGAGTATGTGCCATTTCTAAAGTTTTATGCAGAGACCTAATATCCAAGGTGACAGTATTTTTAAGGAACTTTAAAAATTATTAAGCCACAGGGACACTGTACTTGTGGATAGATGAGTGTTTTGCTTTGTTTTGTTTCGAGGATTGGTCTCACTATGTTGTTTTGGTTGGCCTCAAACATGTGGCAATTCTCCTGTCTCAGCCTACTGATCTCTGGGACGACAGGCTGTCACAGCCAGCTTATTGGTGTCCTCATAAGAGAGGTTAAGGAAGGTTCCCAGTCCTGTCTGTGTTTCCATCTTTTCTGCCATTTACTGCACTGTGTTTGAAGAATGGATCTTCACCAGACATTGAGTCTACAGGGACAATGTGATCTGTAACCCCCAAGCCTCCAGAACAGAAAAACACATTTCTATCATTTACAAATTTCCCCACCGCAGACATTTCATGAGAAAAGGAAGATACCAGGAAAAAGGAGAATCCAGCTATGGCTGGAACAAGGCCAAACTGTCGCTTGATAGTTTCTACACCCTGTCATAGCTAGATCTGCTGGGAAATGGTGGGCTCCACTCAAAAATGTACTTAGGAAGGAATGTTTATGTGTAAGCCATTGTTCCAGACAGGGTGTTTTCCCCAAGTGGTTTACAGTTTGAATATGTGGACCAACTTCCTACTTTCGAGGGCTGATACCCAGTCTGCCCATAGCAACCAACGCAGAGAATGTGCTGCGGGTACAGTGTACACTTCTGTGAAACCGATTTTCAGTTGGCCCTCCATTGACATTGCTGTATCTCTGCGTGACCTATATTGATGTCTGAGTTCACCTTTATTGACCTTGACATATTTTTGTCCTTTTAAGTTTGACAGGTAGCTCGGTTACTCAATCTGTCTCTGAACTCTTTTACTTTGTTCCTGTGTGGAGGAAGAAAAAAAAATTTTCTTCTCTAAGCACAAAAGATCCAAAGATAAAATGCCTTTGATGAAGGAAAGCAGTCTTTGTCCCATTTTGATTTTCTTTTGAGCCAAACAGGTTGACAGAAAATATGAACGGCGAAGCATTTCCCTTTAGATTGGGTCTAGATCAGCTCAAACTAAACAAAAGAGGGAGACTTGATGAAAACCAATTAAGGGAACAGATATGTGCTGGATAGAAGAGACCAAGGAAGAAGCCAGCAGAGAATACACGGGACACGCTTGTCATGAGCAGTTTGATGGTGTTTGCACATCATCACACAGCAGAAAGATCTTTCTCTGGGGTCTTCTAGTTCCTTGCTAAATCCTATGTTAGGGATTTCCTGAAAAAGTATGGGGAGGTCCTCATAAATGGGTTCCAGAAGCATGTATAGGATAAGTAAAGATAATTTAACAGCATTCTGGAACAGGGAAGAAGATGTCAAGGCAAAGTTTGAGCTACCCTCTTAATCCTTGAGTTCTCAGAAATATGGAGACTCTAATGGCTATGAGCCTGCTTTCTGCCCACAGATAACATGAGCAGGGGATAAGTGGAACTAAATATTCAAAATAAAGAGAGCCATAGTGACCTGGAATACTACTTAGAGTTGGAGTATGTCTGCTTTTCAGGATTCATTTTAAGGTCTGGAGATAACAACCATTGGCTTCTGCTCGAGGTGCGGGCTGGCATCCCCTTCTCACGTAGGTTCTTGTGCCTGTGGAGACCTGGCATTGCATAAAAGAACACACGAAAACTCCAATATGCTCTGTTACCAGGACAGGAGGAATGCACTGCTCATTTGTGTTAAAAAGTGTGTGAGGGCCAAGAGGACAGAAATCCTGACTGCAATTTGATTCAGTGACATTTGATTTCTAGTTTTAAAGTTTATGCTCTGTTTCAGATGTTGTGCTAAGCACCATGGTAAACCCAAAAAGTTAGCCATAGGAAGAGCTGTTTGGCTTACAAAAGACTGGGATTTAAGATTACATATGAAGTCCTGTGAGAAAATAATCTAAGAGTGGTAGAAGCTGTCAGCAAAGGACCTTCTTTAGTACCTGAGCATACATAACTATAACTCACAGAGCATGATATGATCTATACCTTGAAGGGTGGTGCATGTTATTATGAGCATCGGTGGGTAAAACACTAGCAATGTAAGAACACACACACACAAATACAAAAGGCAAAAAAGATCCAAAAAGAGAGTCATTTTCTTCCAACTCATATGTGTGGCCTAACGGTAGATTCTAACACAAAAGACCAGTCCTAAAAGTGATAATATTTATCCTTATATTTTTAGGAATGTTTGTGGCTGTGCAGCATTCAGGACACATCATTTACCTCCACATGAAACTAAACTTAAGGGGAAGTATTGTTTTGGGTCATAAACGATAAAACCCAGAACCATTCATATTGAATTATTTGCTGAATTTTGTTGGGCTAATAATTGGCACAACCAAGATTAGAATCTTTTTGATGGCAAAGTTCAGTTTGTCAGGCCATATTGCACCTAGGAAGATTTAAGGATTTATGGTAAAGCAAACAGAACAAGAATGAGAGCAACAGGAATGTGTTTGTCAGGAACTCTGTACTGAGGACTAAACTTTGAGCAATGATACCCCAGCGTTAGCACTGTTTGCGGTCAGCATACAAACCAGGGTTCAAAGCTCCTCTTTATCTTTCCTTGCAGCATTTGCTGTCTGTCTCTGGTTTTGCTTTGCTCGGCAGTTTCTCATCCACTCCCACAGCTATGGTCACCCTCTGGAAGCTAGAGCCATCCCAATATCCTTCCCCCTTGCAGTTCCGGGGATAGAAAGTCTGCCAATGCCCATTGCCAATTTCTTCAAACTGAAAAACCGGGTGCTGTGCCCACTATACTCCTGAGAGTGAAAAGCAAATCTCTCTCTCTCTCCCCCCTCTCTCTCTTCTCAATATACGTGAACATGGCTTTTGAGTTTGCCTGTGCCTCCTTCATATTCCCATCAGCAATACTCTCACCCATGAGTCTTATTGGACTGCACACTGCAGTAGTTTCTTAGCTGGTCTTGTTTCTTTTGACAACAGTAGAGACATTTTCAAAACACAAAGATGATTTTTGTCAGCTTCCCTTTGTAGTCTTTCCATTGTCTTAAGATGAAGTGTAAATGGGATAAGGTCCCTGAGATATGGCTTCTGCCAGCCAAATCACAAAAATAATTTCCCCTATTAGGTTGGTGAAATGGCTCAGAGGGCAAAGGCACTTTGTCCAGCGACCTGAGTTCAATCCCTGGGTACCACATAAGTTTTGCTGACTCCAAAGTGCTGCATAGATATGAGTTTGGAATAGGTAAGATGTTATATAACTTAGGAGCTATTTTTCTATAACAAAATTTTTCAAACCTCTCACATTTGCATCTCTTCAGCTGTCTTGATTTAGGCTTCGTATTTGCTGTTGTGGACGAGGAAAGGATTTAACTGGTGGCTAGATCCGGATGAAGCAGATCTTGTAATTGTACAAGAGGCTTAGAAAACCACAGCGATGTTAAACACGATTAGCTTTTGTGTAGTCCATGCTCAATCATTTTTGATCTATTTATTTAATCTCATATGTGTACATATGTATGAGAAGACATGAAACCAGGCCCCACTCCTAGCTCCTACAGACTGACTAAAAGCATAGCATTTTTTATTCTCATTAAGGGCTAATTGTTTGACTCCAGTCAAAGCATCACTGTGTTTATGCCAATTGTAGCGTAATTATGCGCTAAGGCTACTAAAATAAGTCAATGAGAATATTGTACTGTTAGGGAGACAAATAGTGCTAAGTCTGTAATTGATCAGTCTGGTTAATTTCGTTCCTTAACCTTCCAGTTTTCCCAAGTGTACAATTAAGATATTTGGATAGGCCATTCTTAATAACGTCTCAGCTCTAAAAGTTATAGTTTGGGTTGAAATTCTACAGTGCTTGCTTTCCCAGATGAGAAAATCACTTTTCAAAATCTCTTCTGTTTTTCAGCTTCCACATTAGATTCTTCCCAGTGCTCGAAAGAGAAGAATTTACTTAGCCTGTAAGTTTTGCTTGCATAATGCATTGCAGATATGCCATGCCAAAAAAACAAATTTAGATAAATGAATATGAGGATTTTTTTATTATTTTATTTTATTATTATTATTATTAGTAGTAGTAGTAGTAGTATTTTGTGGGGAGTTCGAGACAAGGTTTCTCTGTAGCTTTGGAGCCTGTCCTGGAACTTGTTTTGTAGACCAGGCTGGCCTCAAACTCATAGCGCTGTCCAAAGAGATCAGGTCATAAGCCACCCAGAGAGAAAGCTGTTCTTGGAAGACAAGCGTGACCTCGTCTGGCTCCTAAGCCCCTGTGTGTGGTTTTATTTCAGCGCCACCATCACCTTTTCCCAATTAGTTCCCGAAAGCCACTATGGAGGAAGTAAGCAAAATGAAGAGTGATGTGTTGACAGTGATTAAGAAACCCTCGAGCAATGAGCAACAGGGAGGGTGTTTAGAAAACCAGGTGAGTGACCTCGCCAAAACTCGGCCTGTGGAAGAGAAGATGCCGGGAAGATGGGGTTTAGTTATTTGAAAACCGGTTGCATGAACGCAGGGTTTGTTTGGTTCTGAAGTCCTCAACAGCTCTGATGCAATGCAAGCCGCTACTAAAAAGAGCCCCGATTACCATGGCGACTCGGTTAAGGTTACAGAGTGAGGTTCTCTCTTCTTTGAGCTTTTATATCTACACCATTCAGGGTGTCATTAAGTCCGTTTAGAGTTGTCATGGAGATTTATGGTAACTGCGAATGGCGGTTCATTTTCTCTTAGGCACACAGTGTTGCTGGCATCTTCCTAGGAATTACTGCAAATGCATTGCTAATAGAAACACTCCATGGAAGATGATGTCCACCAGTCGGAACATCTGTCCAGTGAACTAAGAGAAATTGGCTGCAGCTTTTTGTCAGAATCCCCATCTTATTTATAAATGCTAAATCATCAAGTTATATAATAACCTCTATCTGTTATGTAATCAAAATTTTATGTAGAATTTTATTATTGTATTATATAACAATAATAATTAAATTAGTTAAATCTCAATAATAAACCTCCAAGGCTGGGAACAATTTTTCTGGACAGGAAACAGAGGCCCATTGGAGTTATTTTTTAGGGAACTGTAGTTTGGCAGGAGTGGTTTAAATAAGGACCTCTGGCTCCAGAAATAAGACCCTTATTGAGCCTCAGAGGACTGAGGACTGAGGCTCAACTTCCAACACCCACCAACTGATTCACAACTGTCTATAACTCTAGTTCCAGGAAATCTGACTTCTCTTCTAGCTTCCTTGGGAACTAGGAAAGGATGTGATTCATAAATATACATGTAGGCAAAACACTCATATGATAAAAAAATGAAACCTACATCTTGAAATGGCATTGTTTATTCCTTTAGTTTGTAATGATCCATCTATATCTATCAAGTGCTTCAATGAGCCCTGCTGTGTTGGTCAGAATGAGCAGTCATTGTCAATGTTTTATTACATTTGCTTGTGTAAATTCACATATACGTATGTGTGCGTACACACATGAGGAAGCCAAAGGACAAGCTGTGTGTGTCAGCTCTATCTTTCTACTGTATGGTGCCTAAAGATTGAACTTAGGTCAATAGGCTTAGCAACAAGTGCCTTTCCTGCTGAGCCATTTTGGTAGCCTAGAATGATCAGAATCATTCCTAAAATATTTCAAATATAATAATGTCTCTGCTTACTTAGGGTGTCCATGCACCTAAGACTACCACTAATCTGGAAACACCTAAGTAGGGAAGAACTGGAATCAAAACTGTTTGGGGTTAGGTATCTAAGGGCTCACCTGTCTTATATAGAGAGAAGCCATGGATGCTGAACTGTTTTTATTAGTCCTACATGCTGGATATGTTAAATCCCTCACTGGCCATGAAATTTAGCTTAGCTCTTCTTCTTCATCCTCTTTAAAACAAAAATCAAGAATATCAATTTCAATTATCTAGAAAATCATCTAGATCTAGGACAGCGTTTGTGTTAGCAAACACTCTGAGACAACCCTTGCTGTAGGAGTGAAATAGGACACAGTTACTAATACAGATGATGAGACAAATAAGGATATTTGAAAGGGGCCATCGGTAAATATTATTTTATAATATTATATAAATACATATATAATATATGTGTGTGCATTTGAGTTACAGCACATGGGTGACAATGTTCCCCACGAAAGACTTAGACTATCCAACAAATCTCCACTGCCGAGCATGGGAAGCCTCCTTTAGAATTATTGGTCATGGAGTCCAAGAGACTTCAAAACCACATACACTATTACTGTTGCCCTTGGCTGCCTCCTAGAACTGCAAGATAAGGCTCACACACCTCAGACACAAGACTTAGAGGAATCAGCCTTGCAACAGACATGGACACCTCCTCCCTGAAGACTAACTCATACAGTACCCAAAGGTGCTATGCAAGGTACCAGAGGAGAAAATAACAATGAATAGTCCTACCCACCTTCGAAGTCCAAGACACACACACAACAATGATCTGCTCACCAATCACCTAACCCCAATGGGACACTAATGGTACTCATACCTTGGGAATAGCCAACAGCTGTGTGGACTGAGGGTCCTTGTTAGGGTGGAGTCATTGGCCCCCAGGGTGGCTGAAGAGGTCGCAGACCCTAGAAGAGAACCTCCTACTGACATTTTCCTAAACCAATATTATTTCTAATTATATTCCAAACATTTATCTTCATACCCACAGAAAAGTGTGACTCTCACCCCTCCTCAAAGAAACTTCTTTTCACAGCTGACAGAGGGCACTACCTCTGTAGTAAAGTGATCAAAATGCAGAAAATATGTAACTGTGGTTTCAGCCCAGTTGGTTCACCTATAATACAGCACCTATAACTAAGGCTCAGAGAACATCTTTGAAAAGGGTGGGAAGATTTTTAAGGGACAGAGGACTGGGATCCCAGCTGTTAGACAATGTTTTGTATTCATGAAATCTCAAAAACATGATTACCTAAACAGGACCTGTATAATGATACCAGTCAGCATGTCAGCTTGGAAAGGGGAAATTTCATAAAGTCACACCCCTGGATGAAGAACTACAGGCAATAAACAAATGGCTGCTCAGAAAGGGAGAATCGGTCTTCTACATGAACCATCTCCCTTCAGATTATCCAATACCAAGTGGCCAACCTAAACATATATGCATAAGGAGCATCAAAAATGGTCTTAGTAGGTTGTCCACATACATATGTGTGTGCATATACATGTGTAACAATAATAATCATAGAAAAAGAGATCAGAACTTGATAGGGAGTTGGGAAACACAGAAAGAGTTGGAGAGGGAAAGAGAGGTGAAAATTGTATAAAAAAGTATTTGTATGAAATTCTCAAAAACAATTTAAAATAGTGATGGTTAAATAGAAAGCATAAATGTCTAAGTGTGGTGTAAATTGACAGTCCTAAAACTACAATAGGGCTGACAAGAGAGCTTGCCACCAAGACTGGTGACCCAACATTGATCCCAGGGATCCACATGGGGGAAGAGGAGAACCAACTCCACAAGTTGTCCTCTGACCCCCACATGAATGTGGTAGCACATATGCCTCCCATATCCAAACAAATACATGTAATACAAACTATTTAAGAACAAAAATAATGCCAAGTTCTAAAGTTGGTAAGTTTTCTCATTAAAAACTATACAATAAATTTAATTTTAATACCAAATATTGACAAACCTGAAAGCATGGGCCTACAATCACAGCCCCATGGGAGGCAGAATCTCATATTCAAGAGGACCCTGGGAAACCTAATAAACTTGTACTTTTTTTTAAGTTAAAAAACAGAGCCTAGGATACAGCTCATTGGTGGAGTACATGTCCAAAGCCCTGTGTTCAGTCTCAGAGAACTGATGCATAGCAAAATGGATGATACATCTCAAGAGGGGAGAGCATTTAAAGGAAGAGAATGGGGGTGGGGAGAAGGAGGAAGGGTTTTGCAAATGTTGTTTTCCATCAGAGGGATCAGTGATATGGTTAACACTGCCCTCATTACAAGGATGAAGGTTGAAATCGAGGTATCCCCTTCACGTATCAAGAGGTTTGGATTCTTACCTTCGAAGTCTACATCTCCAACTAGTTTAATCTTTCCTGTTGTAGGATCTTGAACATAATTGATACCCACATCAATTACTGCTGTGCCTTCTCTAACCATATCAGCCGTAATCAACCTGGGAATACCTGCAAATGGAACAGTCATGAAACACTCAAATTCTGTCCTGTACTTTGTCATATTCCCAAAGTACCTAAGTACACACTTTGCAAGAAAGAAACTAACTTCATGCTGATTACTGGTCATCAGGTAGAAGGATGATTAAGGAAGCGCAATGCACTTTTGAGGAGCAGCTGGCCTGGAGCTGTCCTCTCTCCTCAGAGATTGCGTACGTGACCTCTCCATGTGAGCACCTGTTTGTGCAGTATCCTTTTGTCTAACACAGAGTCATAGAGATGAGACAGGCTCCACTGTTTCAGAGCAGAGTAAAAGCAATGGATGGGGAAGGAAAGCGGTGATGACCATAACCCATACTCTCCGGTGTGTAGTAAGAAGCGCCATGATGGCGTCTCACCAGCTCCACACAGACGTGTTGCCTTCTACTATTTTCTTGCTTCCTTTGACTCCCATGTCTCTGTGGGATCTGAAACGTGTAAGCTATAATAGCTATCTTCATTTTCACTCCATTCTGGTTGAAAGGAGAGATCTATAGAGATAACATGCCACTGTCTGTGATTAAATTTAACTTTTGCCTCAAATACAGCAATACTGGCTAACAGTAACACTGCAGTTATTTTTTTATGAGTCTCTACTGAGTGAGCTCTGAACAAACACTTCATTATTAAGTCTCATGTTGTGTGTGTTGATTGTGTCCAGTTGGACATATCTGCCCAGCCAGAGACAAATTCTTAATGCCTTGTGACAACATATATACAGAAATTCTGAGGTAGAAGAAGTCTTAGCTTTCTAGTCATTTGTGTTAATACTCTTAGCAAGAAATATGGCATTACACACACAGACAGACACACACACACACACACACACACACACACACACACACACACACTCATTCACCAAAACAAAACAAACAAAAATCTCAGAAACACTGGAGAGAAAACCTATATTCTCAAAGTCCTACAATTCTGCTTCACATTTATGACGATCTCATTACAAAATAGAATAAGACTCTCCATAAACATATTGTCTTACAGATTAAAAAAAAAGTGTGATGTTCTCCATCATTAAACACAGGGTAAATACTTGGGGAGCTACTATAAACAGAAAACACTGCAGGGATTGGGGCCTTAAATTCAAGGCTGTGAGAAAAAATTCAATACTCATTTTCTAATTCATACTCAAATTCTCAAGGAGGAATTTCTTCGAAGGTTAAAGGACAACCTTAATTTATGTTGTTGTGGGCAATACTTTATTAGCTAAAGTCTGCTATTCTTATCCAAAGTGTTCCCTGGGCTAAATAAACTCTGCAGGCAGTGGGGTCCCCGGGTTCTCAGACAGCCTCCAACCCTGCTCCAGACAGAGGCCTGTGACATCCTTCTCCTGTGACATCCCTGGTAGCACTCTGAGAATGGAAATGTCAAGTTAAATGATGCCAGGTGTCTCCTTAGAGCCTGTGGGTACAGATTATTCATGATAAAATAATAGCTAACTGGACACTGATTTAAAATCAAACCTTTGCATCCAAAGAGTCCAACTGAGGACCACTAAGGATGTCAGAGAACTCCTAAAATAATAATAAATGGGGAGGGACTACACCTACAAACATTCACATCAACCTCTTTAATCCTCTCTCCCTGGATCATGGTACCCACTTAACCCAAAGGTTAACAAAGAATGAACTAGATCTTAAGCCATCTCTCCTTCTTGATCAGCATCCACAGTGCAGGCTGTGGGTCTACTTGGATCTCAGAGTCCTAAGCAGCTGTGTTAAGCCATTTCCTGGCACTAACAAAATCAGACTTCATCCTTTGCCCCTGGAAGCTGTACATCTTGCAGACTCAGATCTGCATTTTGTTATTTTACAGTAAAAGAATTAAAGAGTTCCTAACTATCTTCCTCGAATAACAACATCCAGTCAGATACTAGACCTCGGGATTTGCTAAAGGATCCCTACATATACTACCAGCCAGAAGTTAGTGTACAAAGACCAAAGTTTCACTATAATTCTTTTTGTATAGTGGTGATGAAGATTGGAAAGAACATAGATTTCAGAAAATATGAGTCAGACTTTGCATGCCAAGTTTCTAAGAGCTCAGTGTGTGGTTATGTTTTGGCATATGAGCAGATGCATTTCTGAATCTGCAACAAAAAACAGTCCAAGTGCAATACACCAGGTACCAGATTTTATAATTAAAAAAAAAACTTGCTGTTGAAACCTGAATATTCTTGAGTTTTTGTTATTCTTTACCAGTTGTCTACATTCCCAATAAAATGGTTAACTAGGTTTCCATTGAACAAAATTCTGGGTCATTTAGTCAAATATGAAATTGAGTTTCTATGTGCCTGTGATCTTTTCTAAAACTTCTATTTTAAATATATTTACATAATAAAGCTCGTGGCAAGCTATGGAAACAAGCCATTGTTCTTTCCCAAAGGATAAAATACCTATCTATGGATTTATTTCTGGAGAAGAAAATTTATTATTAAGGTAAATTTAAAAATTAACTTAGATAATCATATTAGAATTCAATAGTCTCATAATAAACAGTAGGGTTTCCTATTCATAAGATATGTTTGCGAGAAGACCTCTGATTAATGAGTATACCATCATTGAATGGTTATACAGAGTTAACACTAATTTGTGTACTCTCGCTGTCTAATCAAGTGCTGTAGTTTGCCATTCTATGATTCTTTACATGAAAAGTAAAACAATTCACCTCTATTGTTAAAGAAAACGTGTTGCACAATATAGGATGGCAATACTTAAAGCCGCAGGCACCATTCCATGCTGCTGGAGCTCAGAGGTCCTTAGTGTAAAGCAAAGTCCACCACTGCTGTAAGTGTGAACACTCCTGAGTGTAAAGCTGTAAGTGTGAACACTCCTGAGTATAAAGCTGTAAGTGTGAACGCCCCTTAGTGTGAAGCAGAGCTTTACCACTGCTGTAAGTGTGAAGTTACATCGCCTTAAACACAGTCTTAACTAAGTATTTTCATATGCCAAGTGACAGGTTCAGAACTGTGATCACACACACACACACACACACACACACACACACACACACAAATGCACGCGCAAAAATAAAGTCTCTTCCCTGTAGCTCCTCCTATCTCAGTCATCTCCGAGTCTTTATGAAACGGCCCGGTCCAGGCATCCTGGTGAAAGGCGGCACTGCACTTATACATCACGTTAATTAGTAGAGTTCAAAGACCTGTGTAAACATTACCTAATTAAACTTCACAACAAGTCAGTGAAGCAAGAGAGCTTTACCCATTATCCTCATTCACAGAAGCTAGATTTTGAGGTACTAGGAGGCTAAGTGATTTCTTAGTTTCACAATGTTGAGTCAGAAGTGAGACTGGGAACAAGACCAGAACTCAGATATAATACTGGAGCCATGGAAATGCCTATTCAGGTGGATCACTCTATCAGCTGGAAGGTAGCCTCCTACTTAAATACTAAGAGTAAGTGCAATGGAATGTGTATGAATGCATGTTGTCTTGTAGATCAGTAAACATTCTGAAGCCTTATTTGCTCTGGTGGCAGTCATATCTGGGATACATGGAGCCTAACTGTCTTAGTTATGTTTGTGTAGCTGAGACTATAATACCTGAGAGGAAAAAAAATGGAAAATTAAGGAATGATTTGTTGTTACTCCTAATTTCAGAGGCTTCACTCTGTCAGGGAAATCAAGAGAGAAAGTTATACTGGGGTAGGCAGAAAGCACAGGAAGGGAAAGGAAGAGGCCAGTGACAAGTTATCAGGAGAAACCGTCTTCCTCCAGCTTGGTTCTGCCCCTAAGGTTTTCAGATCCTCTCAGACTACCAGCTTGGGACTTAGTGTTCAACACCCGAGTCATGTAGAGTCATTCATATGGACTCCATTGCACACTCGTTAATTAGAACCCCTAACAGTAAGAGTATTTTCTCCCAAGCATCTTTCTGCCATTTCTAGGAAGTCTCAGGAGTGCTGGCAAATGAGGCATTAGAAGACATCCAGACAGCACATCCCATTCTTTCTGTCATTCTTTCTCTGTGCTTTGTCTCCTATATGATACATGCATGGCAATGACATGTCAGAATAATTATGTTCACCATAAAGGCAACATCTGGGGAAACCAGCATAGTGGCAGGTTTATGACCAAGCTAAGGATCTTGAGCTGTATTAGATTTCATCAACTTGGATACAGATATTTGGTGGGGTACAGAAATTCCTAGCGTAACTATTAAGTAGTCCCATTAACTTCTGCCTCAAATAATTTTCCTGAACAGCTGAAGGGATGCAAGCTTCTCTTCTCTTCCTATAAGCAAATCTTAGTCTCTGCAAAAGGATCATGCTGCATCTGCAGATCTGGATATGGACATAGCTTAGAGACTGGTGAGCTAAATATCTAAGTCTATATTGACAGCAAAAGCTTCAGGAGGTCCCTGAAACTGAGCAGAATCACCAGGTCCCTCTAGTCACAATGTGTAAAAGCTGCATGAACTCTCAGGTAAAGTGAGAAGTGCCTGGAAGAGATAATCTGTAACCTGTTGGGCTGCCTGGAAAGAGATACTTTCTAACCTGTTGAGCTGCTTTCAAATTATGCAGTGTGTTTCAGGTTACAGCTTTTGTGAGTCATCACTCATGCTGGACGGGCTTTTGGTGAGACAGTTGTCTCAGTCGTTCCTGTTCTCGTAAATAACCCCTCAACCATATTCCTCTGGACCCTCAATGAAACTCCCTGTACTATGAAGTTGGAACTCCATGGCATCCTTACTCAGGTCTGCTGCCAGTTCTCTGGATGGGGGCCTTACAAGATGGAAGATGGCATCTCACATCTCCCCAGGAACAGAGTTACACAAGGAGCTTCCACACTCTTACCATTGAGTGCAATATTTCCTGTAAGACATTTACAAATACTTTTCCCCATGTAGGGGAGTCTCTTTATACTCCCAGTTTGCTGGGTTTAGTTATCAGGAACTGGTGATATATGGTTTCTAAGATTGTGAAGACTTTGTAAGATTTGTATTTTGTTTTTTGTTACTAACATAGAAAGTTACATAAACTAATATTACAATATTAAACTCATCTATTTAATACTTATATAAACTCATCTATATAAAAATATAAGTGATAAACACCATTTATTCATGATGTTTTATCCTGTAATGTCCTGGAGTTAGATTTGAATTAAAAAATGTCAAATTACTTTATTGAGGTATGACTAACATATAAAAATTCTGTATATATTTAATGTAAACAACTTAATGGGGTTAGTGGTAAGCACACATTTATGAAGCCATCACCAGAATCAATAGATAAAAATATCCATCAACCACAAAGTTATTCCTGCCATCTTTTAAATTTAATTTCAAATTGTTTTAAGGGAATATGAACACTTCACATAATACCCACCTTCTTAGCAAGATTTTAACTATACAACAAAATTCTGTGAATCATGGACTCTATGATAAACATGTCTCTGGGGATTTATTCATCATATGTAACTGAAACTTTACAGCACTCAAACATATTCCCCATTCTCTCTACTCCCAGCCCTAGAATCCATCATTCTAACGTCCATATCTATGAGTTTGGGTACTTTAGTTTTCTCATTTAATCATGTCCTACTAGTAATTCTATGGTTTATTTCACTAAGGATATTATCTTCCAGGTTTCTATGATCACAGATAGTTGGACTTCCTATGTGTGAATGAGAGATCTGTGTGTGTGCTTCTGTGTGTATATGTGCACATACTTGCATATGCAGACTAGAACAATGTGTGGGGTCCTCCTTAGTCACTTTCCATGTTGCTTTTTGAGTCAGAGTCTCACTGACTCCAGACTTCTCAAGTTGGCAAGTCTGGCTTGACAGGGAGAGGGTTTCTCCTGTTTCCACCCAGCTTTGGGGTGGAATTTGTGCCACTTCACCGTCTTCTGTGTGTGTGCTAGAGAGCCAAACGTATGCTGCCATACTTACACAAGTACTCTACCAACTGAGCCATCCTCCCAATCTTGATTTTCTTTCTTTTTATGGATGAATAATTTTTTCTTTCTTGTCATATTTTATTTATCCACTGGCCTATCAGTGAACATGTCAATTACACGTCTTGACTGTTGTATGTTCAAATGAACAAGTGAATACAGATAATACTTCATGATACTGATTTCTGTTTTTTTATATTTATATATGTATATTTTCAAGCTAGATTGCTAGGTTATATTTTTCCTTTTTGAGGAAACTCTATAGTACTTTCCTTAGTGACTGTGTCCGTTTTCATTCAAAAGCTCAAGGATGCTTTTGTTATACCAGGAAGTATAATCCCTGTTTCCATAACAGCCATCTTAATAGATTTGTGGTAGTTCAGTGTAGATTGAATTTCTATTCTTCTGATGATGATGTTGAACTTTTCATGTTTCTGTTGCTGATCACTTTATTTCTTCGTTGGAGTAAGGTCTGTTCAGTTCCATTGCTCAGTTTAAATCAGTCTGCCTTTCCCTTGGTTGTTTCATGTCTTGCCATTAGCTGCTCATATAGAGCAGACACTGACACTTCCTAAGATATATAATTTTCAAATCATTCGCCCATTCTGTAGGTTGCTTTCTCATTTAAAAACTGCTTCACTGTTATGTCAAGATTTTGTAGATAACAACTGTATATGTTTGCTTCTGTTGCCTATAGTTTCTAGACAATTGATCATAAAGAAGTTTGTTCAAAAGTAATTATTTAGTAATGCAAATTTTACCATTTACAAGATGCAAAGTTTTCAGTGAGATAGGTGTAATTATTCATTTTTAATAAGAATTAAATCTTGGGTGAATATTTAGTATTTCAGGACTTAGAGCTTCTTTAATATTTGAATTTATAATCATCACACTATATAAACATATACTATAAAAAACAAAATTACATGTGTCATATGTGTAGACTAACGGTAAATCACTTGTACTCCATACTCTCAGAGAAGAACTATGTGTAATGTACCTGATTTTGTCCCCTTCATAGTTGTAAAGCTCACACTCATGGTTCTCTGTAGTTCCCAGGCTTTGAAATAAAGGTTCATATAAAATAAGAAATTATTAATTAATCTAACCAGAAAAAAATCAAGAGAAAATGAAGTTGGATATTATAAGGTAATCCCATATTAGCTCAGAATTGAGTATAATAAAGGGTTCTTTATTCAGGGATAGACTCACAGATTACAGTTCTCTGCACAAACAAAAGCCAGTAGCGGAGAGAGAGAGCACATGCAAGTTTTATGGCTGCATTCATAGTATAAGAGACCAAACCCAAGTAAGCTGGTATCTTAAAGGCTACTGGCTGAAGGAATTCCTACAGCACCTCCCCCTTTTGTCTAAATAAGAGAGTTCTAAGCCTAATACACTATATACAATTAAAACAAATAACAAGCATAAAAATTAGAATTACAACCAGCTTAAACAATATCAAGCAACAAACATATCCTAAACATTTCAATAATTATTCTATCCTAAGAAGTCTAAGTCTTGTATTGAAAATAGCTTGGCCAAGCCATGAAAGGAAAGTAATTACAACTATCTAGTCTTCAACCCCATCATAGATCCCAGAGGGGAAATAATATTACTTGAGTAAATAGGAAGTGCAATCAAGCAACTTCCAAAATGTGCAGTAAATGACAGAGACGACTGGCTACCTGGGCAATCACTCAAAGTCTCATTTGCAATGATGGAGTAACCAACTTTAGCTAAGGTCTAGAGTAACTGACAGACCATTTTCAGAGGCAGGAAAATTTTCAAAACTGTCTTGAAAAAGTTTGACAGTCGTTTTTCTTGTATCCTACTTCTCCTGTCCAAACACCATGCATTTTGTCAGTGGTTGAGGCATGGGCAGTTCCTTGCCCAAAAGCCAGTTTTGCTAAAAGCAAGCATGCTCCAGGTGAAGTATCTTCAGTGTTCAACATTCTCTTAAAGGGGAGGTGATGTTGGATTCCCCTCTGTATTCTGTGAATACCATTGGTTAATAAAAAAAAAAATCCTCTTTGAGCCTATTGCAGCACAGAATAGGGCAAGGCAGGAATTCCTAGCTGATAGAGGAGGAGAGAGTAGGCAGAGTCAGAGAGAGGCCATGTAGCTGCCACAGGAAACAGATGCTGGACGTCGAGTGGAACCTTACCACTAAGCCACAACCACATGGTGATCCACAGATTAATAGAAATGGGTTAATTTAAGATATAAGAGCTAGCCAATAAGAAGTGTGAGCTAATAGGCCAAGAAGTGTTATAATAATACAGCTTCTGTGTGACTATTTTGGGTATGGGTAGCCAGGAAACAAAAGAGCAGCCTTCCTACTGCTAATGCACCTACAAGCAAACGCATTCATTCAAAATGTGAAGAGAGTCACAAACCTCTTTCTGTCTATATAAAAAGGCTTTGTTTGGGGTGCAGTACATACTAACATGATTTCTTCCTTTTCATGGTTCTCCTTTTGAACTAAAGTCAGACCTAAAGCAGGTATCCAGGTACACAGCCAGACTCCACAGCCCATATCAAACATGGCCTGTACGCAAACTGTTATACAAGCATGGGATGTAACACTTCCATCACCAATTCATTGTTTTTCTGGATTTAATTATGAAAATACTCTTTGCATGAGTATTCTTGCAAAGTCACAGCTGAGAATAACTGACTACAAACCCCGTGAACCGTTCTCTCTCTGCCAGTCAGCACATGTCTTAAAGGAACACTCAGCAATGCCACATGCTCCTAGCACACAGGAATGATGACCTCACCTGCACAAGGGCTCACATTCCTACCCACACTAGAAAGTAAAGTACAGTGTTTTCTAATTCTTCCACTAAAGACAGTCATCATACATTCAGTTGTTTCTCCTCCTTCCTTCACCTTGATCTCTGCAGGTGCAAGGCCTGAGTCAACGGTGCTGATGCAACACCATCTTCACTCTCCATAAAGTGAACAGCCCCAAACAAGGAGTTAAGAAGAATCTAGGGCTGAATGGGTTTGACAAAGGCTGTCTTCCCCTACAAAGACCATCCTCATCTTCTAGTAAAGAAGCTTGGACGAAGACAACCCCCTGGTTTCTGACGAAGACTGTTTGAGCCCATCAGTGAGATGTCTATTGCTGAGAGTGAGGTTCTTCAACAGGTTCAAGAAGCACAGTGATGAACAAGACACAGTCCTGGATGCTGAGGTCCCAGTACAGTGGAAGTCCTACCGTAATGATGTTCCTACCGTAATTCTCAGGATTGCCCACGTGTCACATCCCAAAATGCTCCTTTATATTTCTGGTCTCCTTTTCTTTTTTATTTATATTCAAAACCACCATTTTTATTAGCTCTTTGATAATTCCAAGCAATGTTTTACTCATATTTACACCTTTCCCCCAACTATACCCCTTCTATATCTTTATTGGTTTGCTGTACATGAACCAATAGAATAGAAAATCCAAAAATTGACTCATACTGCTTCCACCACCTGATTTTTTACAAAGCGGCCAGAACCATATTAGAAAGGAGACAATTCCTTTAAAAAATTGTGCTAGCTAGGAAAACTTGTTATCCATATGAAACAGAATGAAACTAGTTCCTTATGGTAGCCTATATATATATAGGCTATATATATAGGTGATATATATATCACCCCAGGGGTGGGTGAGGTAGCTCAGTGGGTAAAAATGCTGGGCAGTTGTCGCACACAAGTCTAAGAAATTGAGTTTGAACCTATAGTCCATGTCACTTTGGAAGGAGAGACCTGGCTCTAGAGAGTTGTCCTCTGACCTCTATATATGCACCATGAATTATATACATGACATATACATCATATATGCACAATAATAATACATTTTTTAAAAAATCTTCTCAAAATGAATCAGAGAAACTAATTAAATAATGAGGATTTTGCTGCTTTAAGCAGAGGAACAAAGTTATACTATGTGAAATTACATGTTTATATTTTATGTTATATGAAGGCATATTTTATGTTCTAAATAAGTACTCTAAATAGCATTTTCATAACTACAAATTAAAACTTGATATAATAGATCAAAACGTAATCTTTGCTGAAAATCAATAAACTGAAAAGAGGTAAGTCCATTAGAGGTATGGTAGAAAACTACTAAAGCCTCTTCTTTGGGCTTGTTTTATTGGAGCTATTAAAGCTAAAGATAGTATTCAGGGGATATATCCAAAAATATTTTCAATCATCTGATAAGCCAAGAAAAATATAATGACTAAAGTCACCACGCTGTCAGATAATGACTTAAAATTCCCCAGACTCCTGCATTTAAATACAAAGATAACCACTCATTAGCTGGGGTTGAGTGTGCACGAGCATGAGGCGTCCTGTGTGTTGTGGATTGCATCCAGGGTTGAATGGACATCCGAGCTGTGAACCAGTAACAAGACATGGAAAAATCATAGAAAATACACAATTGACTAGGAAAATCCACAGAGCACTTTCTCAGAGGCAGTGCTCCCATGTTCAGGTCATTGGTGTGGAATACTAGTTTAAGATGTGTTCCAGTTGTTTAGCTGTGGAGCATTTGTTCAGTGATGCAAAGAAGCGTTTCAGTCTTATGTTGCATTTGTTACTTTGTCTGCCTAAGACACCAGATTGGTCTAATAAAGAGTTGAATGGCCAAGAGCTAGGCAGGAGAAAGAATAGACGGAGCTGGCATGTAGAGAAAATTGATAGGATAAGTCTAGGCTCCTAAGAGGGAAGTGAGAAAAGGAGGAGGAGAGGAGGACACTAGGGGCCAGCCACACAGCCACACAGCCACACAGCCAGCCACCTTGAGCAACAATGTGGTTTGTTGTTATCTTAGCTGATGACCTCATCAAGATGGAAGCAACCATGTAACTTGGTCACTATCTTTGCTAAAGGTAAAAAAGAAAAAGGCAAATGCCAACACCTTGATTAATGGCACCAACCCAAAAGGCCAAATCCTTAAGACTTCATGGTCCTATGGAGCCTCTAGGAGTCAATGTACCCCTTTTATAGTAAAGTGTGGGAGAAACATCAGAGCTCGAAAGTATTTATTTTGTAATTTTAATGTTTTGTTTTGTTTCAATTCTGACAAAGCTTTTACATGACATAATCATTGGCTTCTAAGGGGGGGCTAAAAGTTGCCCTGGCCTTGTGCCTCCAATAGTGGAATTCTACCAAAGGGATTTGAGATTCACATATTCCAACAGAGACTCATAGGATAAAATTCACGAAATAGAGAAAATGCTACAGCAGGCTCTGTGGGTCCCAATGCCTGCTGTTTCTGCATGTGGTCTTCATTTCCCTCTAACTGAAACACATTGATCTTCCCCCCAATATTCCTTTACTTGTGTATCTGCTTTTGTTTCTGCCTGGTCTAGCAATATGTTTACATTTCCTTTTTACAATGATAATTATTTTAAAAAAATCCACATTTCAAACAAACAGTAACATTCAGAACCTTGGCCTATTAGAATATACCTTATGTATGAGTATGTATATATAGATGGCCTGCCCACATGACTATGGTCTGACTTTTCCATCGTGTACTTAGTACCCAGTTGACTTATGAGTAAATGGCTCCTGTGAACTAAAGTTGTTAACCTGGAGCAATTTTATTTTGCTTAAACTAAAAACAAAAAAATGATAAAACAAAAATATAGTCAATCAATGTGACCAAGCAGATAAAATAAATAGAGATGGCTAATGGTCCTAAATCTTTCCTTGGAACAATTAATATGACTTTTAAATTTAAAATTTTTAAATCTGCTTTTAAGAACAAGACACACTGAATCATACAATTCTGTTCAAAATTTCTTCTCCATGAATGATCCTTCTCCCAATTCTGGTTCTACACACGGTCCTGTTCACTTGAGTGTACAAATTAACTTTAAGAGATGATGTTTTGGTTCTACTGCTGTGAACTCTTATCAAGCATTTAATAGGGGACTTACAGTTTCAGAGGGTAAACCCATCCTTATCATGGTGGAAAGCAGACAGGCACGGTGCTGGAGCAGACTGAGCTTTATATACTAACCCACAGGCATCAGGCTGAGAGAGACACTGGACCTGGCATGGGCTTTGAAACCTCAAAGTCCAGGTCAGGGACACACCTCTTCCAACAGAGACACGCCTCTTCATCCTCCTAATCCTTTCCAAACAGTTTATCAGCTAGTGAATAGGCACTTCGATCGAATGAGCTGCTGGGGGGCATTCTCACCCAAACCACAGTAGATAATTATTCTACTCTAGACAGTTTCTCCTACTAGACAACTACCCCTCCTTTAGGTAAGAATGACTTATATCTATGCTATTAAATAGGTTTATATATAAGTGAATGTGTACATAAGAACAAACGTTTTAAAGATTTCATGGATACTTTTTACTTTTACAGTCTCTTTAAAAAAACCAAACAGATGAACAAATTTGTCTTTCAAGTTCCAAGACATGGCTTCTGTGTTATCTTCTAAGATAAGCAATGTCTAACTTCTAAAATCTATCTTCAGATGTGTTGGCCTGAAATAATCACAGCAGGGTCTGTCAAATGTTAATACTCACAAAAGAGGAAATTAGCAGGCCATCTTAGTCAAGTTTACATCAACAAGTAAATAGGAAAAAAAGGAGAGAGCACTTTTTATCTATTTATTTTATTTATATAATGTGAGTATAAAATGTCCTCATGCAAACGGAGTGAATACTGTTCAGTAAATGTTTCTGAGTCACCCACAGCCCTAACAGTGACCCTTTACCAATTCTCAGAAACAAACCCCAACAAACTCATTGGTTACCCAGGGTGAACTTGAATGAAAGTAAACTTTTCTTTGGGAGACCTAATGAAGAAGGGGTAGATGGAACTTAGCCTTCCTCAGTCCCCCATTCCAGGGAGCAAATTCTCATCACAAATAGTAAATTCATTTGTTAATACTATTAAGAAATTCTAAAATGCTGTAAAGCTGGAAATTGTTTTAGTTAAGAAGGATTTATTTGGCCGGTTGGTGATGGCAAATGCCTTTAATCCCAGCACTCAGAAGGCAGAAATAGGAGGGTCTCCATGAGTACAAGGCCAGCCTGGTCTACAATAGCTAGTTCCACGGGAACCCTGTCTCAAAAAAACCAAAAGAAGAAGAAGAAGAAGAAGAAGAAGAAGAAGAAGAAGAGGAGGAGGAGGAGGAGGAGGAGGAGGAGGAGGAGGAGGAGGAGGAGGAGGACGATGACAAAGAAGACGAAGGATTTCTTTATAAAGACTAATATGGATGATATTTCCAGAATGGAATAGGAAACTCACATAAGCAATAAAGTTCTAAGAAAGCTTTTTATTTAAGGCAAAGAGGGAGTTAAATAGGGATTTTTAGTTTCTATGATATGATAATAGTTTCTAAATTCTAAAATTAACAATTACAAACCTGCTAAAATATATATCAAATCAAAGTTCATTTAGAAAGATCTTCATATTAAAATAGCATACGTAGTTAAAAAACCAAGCTGGTGTAACTGATCTTCTGGCATTTAGTGACCATTCTTAGATGCTATTCTAAGGTGTTCAGAGGGACTAAAAGGGAGACTGTTTTCTTCATTGCCCTCCAAGGCCAACAAGGCACCATGGAACTATGGGCTAACTCTATGTCGGTAACCATGGGAAATTACCCAATCTCTTGTTCAAGGAGGCCATAGAGACCTTGCTTAATGAAGTCTAACCAGCATCCAGTCTACAAAGTGGAAAGTCAACACACAGAAAGGATTCCCTCAGAACTTCCGGTGGAAGCCAGAGTCAGTCCAAGAAAGGCCTTTGACTTATGCTCACATAGATGGACAACTGTTAACAGAAAGTCTCCAGGACCAGAGACTCCTCCCAAGACCAAGTAACACTCGAGGTCTAGATCCCCAATTGGACTTAACAGTACAAAACCAAAAATTAATTTTGGCTACTTACATGGTCTTAAACACCCAGAAGGAAAGTATAACCAAGATTAAATGATCAGTATGTTCCTTCAACAGTCCTCAGACATTATATTTCACAATATGAAATGCTATTTGGACAACTATTTCTCGTGAATGATTCTCTTCCTGAAATGTCAATATCCATAATCATGTATCTATAGCTACACCTATATCATCTATTCCATATGCAGGACAAGATATTGGATTTCTTCCACAATGCTTTTTCTGTTTCTTCCACAGCTGAGAGAAATAGCCCTGTCTTCTTAAATACTGAGGCCAAAACTAAGAGCTATATTCTGAAAGCATCCCTCTCACAGCTGTAATGTGCCCTCACCACCCATGCTCCCTAATGAAAGGAGGATGCCAGGTACTGTTATCAAATCCACAGGCTTGGCAAATAATCCAAGATATCCAAAGAGTGTCCTTGGGGTGTTACTAGATAGTCCAATAAACTTAAAATATCTATATTTTAAGTTGTGTATTATATACAGATTTTGCTTCTCTTACAAAGGTTTCCAGGTTCTTCTTCCTCATG